TTCAATTCTATAGTGGAATAAGGAACTTTAAAACAATCATACATATGTGCCTAAAAATAGAAATTTAAAAACAGAGTTTGAACAAACCAGCCTGTAATAAACTTTGCAAAGTCTTGCATAATATAAAAATACATAAAATATTGAGATAAAATAGTTGTATCCGTTAATATATGTATGGTTCGTTTCTTTAGCAATTTTATTTAGCAAACAAGCCCCGATTTGCTGATTCCCTAGAGCAGAAAGACCTTCGAGTGTAAAGGGTTAATATGGGCAGTGGATGCACCGTGTATTGAATGTTAAGTATCGAGTACCAAGTACTCAATATAGAATACCAAATAGCAAGTATTGAAAAACGAATACAAAATACTAAATACAAAATGCTAGACAACACGAATCAAATACCAAGTACCAAATACTGAATACTAAAAATAAATTACAAGTACTAAATATCAAGTTCCTTATACCGACTACCAAAACACACCAAATCTATCCCTAAAATATCTCGCATCTACAGGTACACCAATATGTACTCTCTCCTCCGTTCATCACATCAAAAATATCCAGGAAATAAATAAGATACAATTTATAGCGTGCATCCAGCTGCACTTGCTACGTTCATTATCCCTCCGCACAAGACCCGTTCCTTCACAACTAAAGAAAAAGCATCATCCTTACTCTTGTACTGTCACGCGAACTTTATCGTCCGTTTTAAGTACAGATAGTTCCTACTTTACGAATTTTTATCTTTACGAATTTTTTCGATCGGAATTTTTATTTTAAATTGTACGGGGAATTACGCAGTATGTAATGACGTAATGAACAGGTAGAACGAGCCTCTCGCTTTACAAATTCCCGATTTACGAACGGTCGCCAGGAACCAATTAATTCGTAAAGGCGGAAACTACTTGTATATAAATCCCTCTATTTACAAGGATAATCAACTTAAAACTATGCAACTGAAAAATCCTCCTAATTCCATCTACTTCCTTGCCCTCCAACCCCCTTCAAACTTTTAAAACTTCTCTCAGAATCCCCACCTCCTCCCCCCCTTCTTGTACACCATTAGCCAAATAACCCAACAAGAGTAACCATTCATCACAAAAAATCTTCCCTTTTAAAAGACAAACGCAGGACCATCTCGTCCCTTAGGCAACAAGGGTATATACATATACAGCTGATCTGCGAGAGGACCAAACGAGGAGAAAGACAAATAGAAAAAGAATGTCGTAGGCGACACAGGAAAGAGACGAATTCTCTGCAGTTGAGGGGTTGGAGGGGGTAAAAGAGACAATGTGTATCCGCGTTCGTGTGCACCATGGAACCACCAGAGGGGAGTGGAGTGGTGGAGGCGGTAATGCCTTGGCAAAGCAGCTTGTTTCTCGCATTCCTTCTCGCGTTGCTTGTCGCGTTCTCCTTCGTGCATTATATACGACTAAACTCGGTGGTCTCAGGTTCCTGAGAACCGAACTCCGGCGAGGACTCATAACAACGTCGATCTCATGGTGCCTGGCGCACCTTCTTCTTCTACGACGCTCAGCCAAGCTAAATAGAGTCCAACGTGACCGTCCTCATTCAACGGGATTCCCTTTTATTATATTCGTTCCGGGGGCAAAAGAGAAAGATGTATATAGAGGGCTAAACTGCTCCTACGTTTGTTACGTCACGGTGTTGAGTTACTGGATCTTGATTGGATGGCTCCTATGCTTGAAATCGCTACCACCAGGGGATTCGGTAGAATTTCTGACTCCCTCTTCTTGTGATCGCTGCAATAATTAGGTTAAATGTGGAATTGAAATTGAACGAAATGTGGTTATTTTAACACTGCATATATTCATATATGTTTTATGATTATTATAGAACAATGATGAGCAACCTTTTTTTTTGCATATCTATTAATTTAAAAATTGTTAACCTGTTAACCTGGATTCTCCTGTCAGGCAGAAATTGAATCTCTCTAGCTTATAATGAAAACTGAGTAGCAATTATAACCAATTATTTCATTTTTGTTCTTGCAAATCTGAATATAACATTTGTAACACATTTCACACAATCTGCAACTTACAAAAACATTCTACCTGAAATTCTATAAAAATTGATTATAAAATATAATCTATCAAAAATTGCAAAAATAAAACAGAAATTCATCTTAAGAGAATCCGTGATTTTACACTAGGAAGTGTGTGACACTTGTAATTGCAAGGATCCTGACGTACAGAATCTAATAAGAATCCCTCACTACCACCGTAGTAGAGATACGATCCCAAGATAAAGACATGATTCCGGTCATTACGTCATTGTTTCCTAATGACAAGGAGTCAGCGAGACGAGACTTCCTCGATAAAGTGTCCCCTTAACGAGTTTCAAGAAAATCGATGCCGCTCGAGGGCCATGTAATACACCACGAAATTGATGAAGAGTAACCCCATTTTGGCTCTTTATTTATTGAAATATATATATATATGTATATATCATTACATTATTGGAAGATTAAATGTTCACTGCATGACACTTTGCAAGGAACTGTTCCTCTCCATATTTGTTTTTATCACGTGACACAGTGTAACCTCCAATATTGGGACACAAAGGGAAAAGGCGCATGAGTGCCATCTGTTATTGATCACATGGAATAACTAATCAGCGTATATCGATTCTATCATCCAACAGAAATATGAATCAAAGAAAATAAAGAGATTTCAGATTGACGTTACCCTGCCACGTGAACGGACTGCAGGCGGAACAGAATGAAAGAAGCCGATAGTATTACGTTTCGTTGCGAAGTTTCCCCTGGTGGTCCACCTGTCAGCGTCGCACCTGCCTTCGCAACCACTTAATGCCAACGTTAATGACCATTCATGGATCGTTGGCCGCACGACATGTGGGCAGTAAGCTGGAATGCGATTTATTCTACATGTTAAATATCAACCACGACGTCGACAATGTTCCTCGATGTTTGTCTTTAATTTTTTTTCCTCATTTACTCGAGAAGGGTTGGCAACCAGCGTGGTGGTCGGTCGATCGTGTTGTAGCTGATTAAGTAATAAATGGAGAACTTGTTGCGTGTTTGCGTTTTATTTCGTTCGGTGAAATTACGATTAGCAAGGTGGATCGAGGTACATTTTTTATTAAACGCTTAATGGGATGAATGTGACGGTGTTTTGAGTTATTATATTTTTTATATAATTTGTATTTCTGATTAATAGTTGGTACTTTTAAAAGAAATATTTGAAATAGAAGTGTAAATGGATTTAAAAGATTATCCATTCATTTTTATCTTCTATTAATTATTATTTATTTAACTATTAATTCATCAATGTAGTATTTAACATAAAAATATGAATATTTTCAAAATAATGAAATTGAAGACCATGAGTTAAAGCAATTTTATGAAGTATAGTATTTGTTCGAGTTAATACCAGCGGGTGAAATACCGGGAATCGATGATGATCTTATTCTTTCACCTTGGAGGCCATTGACGGCATGACACTTTGCAAGGAACTGTTCCTCTCCATATTTGTTTTTATCACGTGACACAGTGTAACCTCCAATATTGGGACACAAAGGGAAAAGGCGCATGAGTGCCATCTGTTATTGATCACATGGAATAACTAATCAGCGTATATCGATTCTATCATCCAACAGAAATATGAATCAAAGAAAATAAAGAGATTTCAGATTGACGTTACCCTGCCACGTGAACGGACTGCAGGCGGAACAGAATGAAAGAAGCCGATAGTATTACGTTTCGTTGCGAAGTTTCCCCTGGTGGTCCACCTGTCAGCGTCGCACCTGCCTTCGCAACCACTTAATGCCAACGTTAATGACCATTCATGGATCGTTGGCCGCACGACATGTGGGCAGTAAGCTGGAATGCGATTTATTCTACATGTTAAATATCAACCACGACGTCGACAATGTTCCTCGATGTTTGTCTTTAATTTTTTTTCCTCATTTACTCGAGAAGGGTTGGCAACCAGCGTGGTGGTCGGTCGATCGTGTTGTAGCTGATTAAGTAATAAATGGAGAACTTGTTGCGTGTTTGCGTTTTATTTCGTTCGGTGAAATTACGATTAGCAAGGTGGATCGAGGTACATTTTTTATTAAACGCTTAATGGGATGAATGTGACGGTGTTTTGAGTTATTATATTTTTTATATAATTTGTATTTCTGATTAATAGTTGGTACTTTTAAAAGAAATATTTGAAATAGAAGTGTAAATGGATTTAAAAGATTATCCATTCATTTTTATCTTCTATTAATTATTATTTATTTAACTATTAATTCATCAATGTAGTATTTAACATAAAAATATGAATATTTTCAAAATAATGAAATTGAAGACCATGAGTTAAAGCAATTTTATGAAGTATAGTATTTGTTCGAGTTAATACCAGCGGGTGAAATACCGGGAATCGATGATGATCTTATTCTTTCACCTTGGAGGCCATTGACGCTGTACAAATTATGTGCGCAATGCCGGTTGCCTTAAGGTCGTTCACATAACCCCTGGCACGTCCATGGGAATTCGTTTTGCCATTTTCTTCGGTGTATTGATTCGTTTCATGGAAACAATGAATCCCGTGAAAACAAACCGGATTATCTTCTAAAATTTAATCGCATGTCTTCAGGAAACCATTATTTACCATTTTATCTGCTATGATACATCTGCTTTATGACTGAAAGAATCGTTAAATTTAATCAATGCCAAGTTTCACCCATAATTCATAGTAAATATGATATTTACCAATTATTCAACTTTTATACTTCTTTTTCTAGAAAATAAAATTTAAAATAAAAAAATTCGAATTACTTTTAGACAAAGATTTATTCTTGAAATAATTTTACTATGTTCCATATTTTTACCTTGTTGGATACTCCTAAATGTATTCTAATTAATCAGCTAATTAATTTCAATTTTCTAATTTCAAATTTTTGTCTTAAAAATTTTTTTTTTTTTTTTTAAATTTCTTTTGTATGTAGATTGACCATTGTTTTATTTACAGATGCGACTGTGATCACGAGTGACGGCCTTCAAGGTTACGACCCCCAGTTCATGGTCGGCTGTTACTTTCCCGCGGAATTTCAGGGTGAGTTCGTGACACAGGTGAGCGGAAAGGAAGCGAGCGATACGAGCAACGAGCCCATTCAATATTCCACCATCAACATCACGTTCAACGCGATCCATGTGTGGGGCTACTGCCACAAAAGGGTCGGCGATAACGTGCTGCTAATGGACAGGTGGGTCGACGTTGAAATCACCAAATAATTTATTCGACCTGACCACAAGTCACCACGATTTGCTTCTGGTTCTATAATAGCATATTATCCATTTCCGCTGCCGCTTGACCCTAACGTAATAACGATAATTGACTCTTATCCGAATCAAGCTTTTTCATCAGTAACCATAAATGCGAATCACGAAACACAAAACGAGAGAATATAATACTACAGCGTGGTCTACAAGTCACTTTACAATTTAAAAATCGAACAATTTTTTTTATTATATGTTTTAAAACTTTTATTTCCCGTTTTGAAAATTTGTTCTTTAGAAATTTATTATGATAAAGCACCTTGTAGGCCACCCTGCATAATATATTATATA